ACTAACCATTTTTACCATTGCTATTGAAATATTTCCTTGACACTAAGATGCGCGCTATTATGTTTGATTAATGCTGATTTAATGATATAATGTAATGATGATAAGACAACAGTTACAAAACCGCAAACTCATTGTTGGGAAATTTTTCGATTTTCGATTAACATCATCGATTTACGTCATCCATTAGACCTTCTTCTTTGGCTTTTGCTTTCCAGTATTTATCTTTATAGATCTTTCTCCCATTTAACTTGATTACAGCAGCTATAATCTCAATCCAGTCATAGGACATCCCAAATAAACAACTGTTGAAAAACGCCGGTACCGTATCTATGCCGATGACGGAAGGATGCAAAAGAACGATAAAGCCTAGAAGATATGTTGTGTTTCCGGTTTCCCGATCGACCCTATCAAAACCACTTTTTGGGTCGACCGCTGGTAAGTCCATAAACATTTTCAATCTGATGACGACATCTGGACATTTCAAACCCTTTGAAATTTTCTTTTACACATTTTAGAATCAATTTTTTATTGAGTATATCTGGAGAGTTATTTGTCACTTACCCACAAGCAAAAGGAAGGACAGGTCCTGCAGACAGCCCTGGTTCTGATTTTGATGAAAATCCTATCACTGAGAAGTCATCCTAAACCTGTTGAAAGACGCGGGCTGTTCGATACTAAAATCAATTCTATTTCCCAATCACCATTCAGGTACAATATAGAACGTATGAGCTATAGTATCTTTAGCGCAAAGCTTGGACATTTATTGGTTTTGTCTAAATGGAGTCCGTGTTACCTTGGTGTAATTAGGTATCAGAAGGAACACCTTGTAGCCTTGATTGGGTTTCAATCCCACGAGAACACTGTATTTTACTGATTGTAAGACTGAACATTGAGTAAAATAGTAACAGAAATTGATTTTTCGAGCCCTAATGGAGCAGCTTGAAGAATTGCTCACTAATACACAGCGGCGTGTGGCAAGATCAGATATACGACGGCTTACGACTGTTTCCGATGAAATGATATCAGTAAACATTCTCCTTGTAATTTATTTGATCCTTTGTTATTCATGAAATACTTAAATGGGTCTGCTTTTCATTGAGGTCAAGAGGAAAGAGGTAATGGTCAGACAAATGTAACAAGATACAGGTTAGCTGATCGATTGAAGTCCTAGAAAATCCATGAATATACAGTCGTAATAAAGGCACGCATATATGTTGCTACTAAAACACATGAGACAAAACGAATCTTGACATATGAGTCTGTGTCCGTCCATTTGGGTCATTTCAGTTACTAGTATTGCCAAAATCTTTTAAAAGAGGCCAGAGCTGCCCGTGTGACTGGTGGTAGACTGCTTCAGGTGAATAGGTTCACGGTAGCCAATGGATCTACTGAGTGTATCACGCTAAGGTTTTGGGACAAACCAGTTGATTGTTTTGTCTGGTCGTTCTTGTGCTTTGGTCTTTGCAGTAGACAAACATCTGGCGCATGTAGGATGGCAGTTTTATTTAACGCTTCATAAACTATTGCGGCAATGTAATATTGGTGTACAATAATGAATGGGACCGTTTGCATATACGTGTACTGTCACTGGATAGGAAGAAGTACATTGAAAAAAGAAATGAAGTTCGTTTATGCAAAGGCTCTTCACTTTTGAGAATCGTAGCACTTGTTTGTCTGAATCAATTCGTGAATGACGACAGGCTGCCTTGTTGTACTTTGAATGGCGATGTTATAGTTTGATAAGGTTCTTGTTACAGTAATTGGGTGTAGGAACATATAATGCAGATGTTAGCTCAAGAAAATGGGTCGTTGGGCAGCCGTCTCAAAATGTAGGACAGTCAAGTTTATCGCGGTCTGAATACTAACAAGGAACATGGTTTGGCAAATGGAAAGAACAAAAAAGGCACCCAAAAAGGGGGGAAAATGAATGTTTTCTTCTTTATTGCTTGTGAATGTCTCTGTCAACCTCTATAACAACACCCACATTTTCACGGAGTTTAAACCAATGAGGCCGCTGAGACAGGAATGATGTATCGCGGTATTAAGAAGACATTTCATGTACTCCAGAGACAGACAGTAACTCCCTGAGATTTGTAAAAGGATCAAAGAGGATCATCGTCCACTCATACTTTCTGTTCATTGTTAGTTTGTCATTTTGATAGAATGCTCATGCTGTGTTTGCATTGAATATGAGAGTTAAACGCACACCACTGCCAGTGGACTAGCCCCCTGCTGTAGTGACTGCTCCACTGTGTGGCCCAAGGGCTACAGAAACGGAGATGGGCGCCGCCATATGCGAACATGCCAATGGTTTGCGGGGAGGACTTTAACTATTAAACATCCATGCTGGCTTTGTTTGATTTAGTTTATTACAATACATCAAGTCGCATATAGAACAAAAAGAAACCATAAACTCAGATTACAAGGTTTAAATAAAACAATCATGAACAATTGTAAAGAACGAGAACAGAAGACCTACAGGCTGTGCTGTATTTTCTAACTCGCTAATTTTGACCAGATGCGCAAAATTTCAGGTTTCTAAGTCGTAAAAAATGTAGGTCAGAAATCCTCTATTCCTGATGTCTGACTGAGATACCTCAGTTGATGACCTGTGTACTGACCAATGAGGGGGGTTAGAGGGGATATGCTGATGGATTACTGTCAGACAGAATTAACCTGTGGAAGATTTAATACCGATAATGATATCCCGTATATCCCCGGGGTGCGATAAACCCGCTTATCTGACCTGCGTGCGGTTTTTCCTCCATCTCAACGGTAGCCTGATTGACAACCTTCCTATTAAGTAATATTGCCGCTCAACCCCCTGGTGATGTGGGCATTATCAGAAGCTGTGTCGTTAAATGATCGTGTTCGGGGCAATATTGCTTTAGTCTAGTACAATGTATATTAAATGCCTTAGGGAGAAAACATAATACAAAATGTGTATTTAGAACATAGCAGCATGGCAGTTATGACTTAGACTTAGTTCCTCCCGTGCGTAGCACATTGGGCAGTATGTTTCCTCCACTCTGTTCGATCTTTGTCCAGATTCTCTGCATCCGCCAGTAGCACCCCTCTATTTTCCAGGCCTTGAGTTATGAGTTGTGTGAAAATCGTTTTTGATATTGATTGTCTACCATAATTACTAGGTCCACGTCCAGCCCAAGTCATTACGTTGTTGGCAAATACGAGTCTCTTTAGTAAGTCCCTCTACAGCAACAGCGTCTTTCCACACACTGTAAAGTCATGGGAATCTCTCCCTCTAATAAGTATTTCCCTACCGAATACAACCCACAAGCGCAAGGAAATCGTTAGTCTAGCAACTGGATAGATTTTGAAAACTGCCAAACGTTTCAAGTAACGCACAGCATTCAAGACCTTTCCGTCAGTGACAAACAACACACAAGCCTTCACCGCCAACATTCACTGTCATTTCCTACCATAGTCACATATCTATATGCCTCCCAAAATCTTGATTCAGAGTCCAGAAGCTAAGCGTATTTTTGGTCTTGCATTGAACGGGCTCTTTAAGATAACAGCAATTTTAACTTAATACTTAAAAGTATTAAGTATTGATATTGATGATTGAGCACCCATCATAACAGTATAGTTTGCTATTTTCAGAGTAGTCACACATGGTATGGACTATTGTATCCACAGACATGGTTACATGCTAACAGGACGTGTATTCTTACATCAATATGAAATTAGGGAGATCTTTGACTCAAATTCAGAATTCCATTCGAACGCTTTGCGATTTATTGATTTCTTCTCATTCTATCAGTTTGACTCTGCGCTCCGGACATCAATACATCTAGTCGCTGAAGGCGTGTTTTGATCAACAGAGGAGATTAAAAGATCAAAGCTACCCTCTATCTGTGGCTGGAATTTTAATTTCATTATGAAGGCACGTAGTAAGCCGTGCACGCAACGTCCCACATTCCACTTTGATTAAATACATCTACAAATCCTGCAACACATTACCGTATATCTAAACTATAACTAAAACATCTCAAAAATCTCATTTTTCCTCCTCCCGTACGTGATATGAAATCACTGCAAGAGTAACATGTGTTTACAGTATCAGAAAGCTAAAAATCTAAAATGTGTTTCCAAATGCCAGCGACGTCGTGTAGTCAAGCAAGTGTTCTCATCGCCCTTTCATCAGTTGAAGCGGAGTAATCATGGAAATCCCTGCAGTTCGTCATTTAGTATCACGCATGAATGATTTAATTCCGGCCCGGCCCACTTCTATTCCCGAGTTAATCATCTGTGCAGCAATCCAAGTGATAGAAAAAAACGACGTGACAAGATCCACATGAATGGATGAGTGATCTATCATAAATTGAGTTACAGTTATCAGTCTCCTTGCTATCAAATAAAGACAAATTTAAAACCACCCTCCGAAATTGCACAATAACATGGTACTGCAATTTTATTTACTGCAAACTTCTGCATACACATCTTGTTTTCTAGTAGTAAGGTTTCTACTAGCTCAGCGCTGTCTATACCAGACCTTTGTTGTGCGTGGAACGACTAGATTCCACTGCCGGAAATTCCAGCCATGACTTTCCATGTATCGCTAGAGGTACAAGACAAGATGTAGACACGATGTCTTTAATGATTTAATCATTAGTAGGTCAGTGCAATGGACTATTACCGTGCGTTGTATTGCCAGGGGCGCAATTGAACAAGTTCTTTGATTATTTCCTGCGATAACGCGATTGCCCACAGTTTCCGGTTATATACGTATGAGAAAATTATCGACTTCAGAGGGCGTCTATTGCATAATGATACAGACGTTTTCATTGTGAAGACTGCAATATGAACAGTTACGACGCGGTCATATCCGTCGTAGGTTGTCTTACGTTTTTTGATGTCGTACAAGGATCTAAGGCAGCTTTCTCCGTAAGAAGACGAGTGAATTTTGTACGACATATACACAAATGCACAGCTATCGCAATAATGTCTTCAGTTTACCACCCTACGACGATCTTCATAATTGACAGATACTACATGTGATTATTGTAAATACAATACATGTTGTAGTGTCAATATTCGACCCAGCTTTTACAGACGCCACTGTCTCAGGTTTGCCTCACCTGTGTTTTCTTGCACACCCGGCTGAACGTAGTCCCGATGATTGTCAGCGGGATGGCGACAAGAATCACACCAAAGATAGAACACAACCCGCCCAGAATCATCCCTATGGTGGTCTGAGGCACGGCGTCCCCGTATCCTACTGACATCATCGTCACAAGCACGTACCAGAACACATCAGGTATACTGGAGAAACCTTCCGTCGCCGAGGAGTTTTCCACGTAGAACAGTAATGTAGCCCCAACAACAACGAAAAGCAGCATGGCGAACAAGATGTCCAAGAGCTGGCTGATGCACTCTCTCAGGGTCATCAGGAGTAGCTGTAACCTGTGTGTGGACGCGCCGAGTCGGAGAATACGGAATCCACGAAACGATCGAAACAAGGGAGTGATGGAATCATTTTTCCCGGCGACAAGGCTCAAGTAGAACGGCAAGATTGCCATCAGGTCTACGAAAGTCATGATGTTTTTGAAGAAGTCGCACTTGTTCGGCGCCGAGACGAAGAGAAGGGAGAATTCGATGGTAAATATGACCACACAAGCGGTGTCGATACATTCGAAGATCCACGGGTACGCTTCTCCACAGGACATTTTGTGACGAGAGTTACACGAGATCGTCTCTACAATGTTCGTGATAACGGCTACTGTAATAAAGAAACCCACAACCAGGCTAAAGGCATGCCCATAAACTGAGGACGACAGATCGTGAAACACTTTCCACATCTTTTTTCTGACAGACGAGGATGAAAGACTGGTACTCGATGAGGAAATGTCATTGTCAACGACTGGACATCGGAGGCAGAGCTTACTGTCCACAAATCTGTCATAGCAACAACTACAGAGGCTCTGGTCCGGGGATATTCCAAAGAAGTCGGCATCGTCTATGAACGTGCGAAGACAGACTTCGTTCGAGAAATGCAAGACGCCAGTGTTGTAGTACATAAGAATGTGCTTAAAAACCTTTGGGCAGCGATCAAAGGTGTACTCCTCGGTCTCCTGGCAGTAGAAAACTAGCCGGTGACAGGCTGACCCGAGAAGAGTCCGGGGAAACTTGTCCAGTTGGTCCTCCCACACCACGAACCTCGTGCCGCTGACGTTGAAGACAAGTCTGCGGGTGGAGCAGGCCGACCCTCCGCCGTGGGCAGACACGCCTTGCCGCCGGTGCGATATGGAGCATTTCCTTCTGATCAGACGACGTTTTTCCGTGTTCGGATGCTCGCTCAAGTTCTCCTCACAGTCGGATTCCCCGATATAGTCATCAAAGTCTTGGCCGAACATCTCCGTAGCCGACAGAGCTAACGCCTATATCTTGGCTCAGACTGAACAGTTGATACATCTAGTATTGGTCAATGACCAATTAGAGACTGGCTTGCAGATCCTATCCCTACTGATTTGCCTAAGGCTGGGACATTATTCCCTATAGAATCTTGCTGGTCGATGAGGTATGTCCAAGATATGGTGCATTTTCTATACCACGTACCATGTAAGCACAGGTAAAATCTATCAATGACATCGAAAGTCCCAATGGTCCAGGGCTGTCAATTTGTACGCATCGCAATGAAGTGACGGGCAGTATCGAGAGTTTTGGAGTATCGACTAAACACGAGTCACCTGAATTATACACTGTCGATAATAAGATGGATCTGTGTCAGTCTACCCAAACACACACACACACATGCACGCACACATGCACGCACATACGCGCGGGCGCACACACACACACACACACACACACACACACACACACACACACACACACACACACACACACACACACACACAGACACACACACACACACACACGAACGGTTGACCATAGCACAATAACATCTACATAATCCGTCATGTGTGAGTCGATACTTGCTGATTTGGTTCACCTAAGGATAGGCGGGTTCTGACATGACCATTTCCTCCTGACCTTTGAATTCATCAGACCACCTATTGATACCGCAGCCGGGGTCAGAGGGCCGCTGGAGTGGTAAATTGCTGGTCGCAGGAGAGGCCCCGGGCCAGTCCAGACGTAACGGATGTATCCATTAAACTATCCGGTGGTCAGGTGGTTAGGGTTGTTGACTCATCTGATGGTTCTGATTTCGAATCCCTGACCGTTCCCAGTTCGGTGCTTTTGGGAAAGGTACTTAGTGTTATTGCCTATTTTCTCACTCGCGTCAGGTGAATATGAGTACCTATAGCTAGCTTTTTGTAGTTGTGCGATTTAACAAGCCACCAAGGTACGAGTATTCTATCCTTCCTCCTCATCTTTATGTCATCAAGACCTAGTACCTGAACAAGAGCAACCAGATAAAGCAAAAGCAGTCAGCTAGTTGTCCCAAAACCTCAGCGTGAGACCTTCAGAAGATCCACCGGCTCTGCCTAGAACAGTTTACCGCCAGATACAACATATTGCCCCAGCAGTGTCCTCCTTTAAGAGACTTAAGCTTCTGCAATAACTCAAACGGCCCATATGAGGGCACATTCATCTGTGTTTTTTTGTAATAACACGCATGTGTAAAGATGTATGCCTATATGTTTATTTATTACGAAGGAATGTCTATGTATTTGTAAGGACTTCAATCATGTAACTTATATCTTGTCCGACCTTGACCTATATTTTCCTCTTGAAAAGTAGCCAACTGGACGATCTGAGTATTTTATGAATAAACAGAAGCTCAAATAGACATACAGTAGGTCCATCGCACAGTGCGTTTGGAAAGTTTCCAGCCGCGTGGCTGGGCTTATTGGATTACCCACTTCCCGGAAAGGCAATCTTTAACTACTGGCTTCCATTGAGTGACCTTTCCGTCATGCAACTGGCTTCAGAGATCTATCTCAACGCCTAAACATGCCTTTGTACAGTCGATTGAAAATCTAAGAAGTCACTGGAACTGGCGGTCATAGAACAACATCAACGCACGTAAAGCCATCTAAAACAATTCCTTTACCATGTAATCATTCCAAGATATAGTAGTAACATTAAAACACAAAGACGCGTGCTTTAGTGTTGAAGATAAATTGCAGATCTATTGTATATTTGTTTTGGGTGGAATTTTGTAACTGGTTCTCAAGACTTACTGTATTGATCGATGCGCCCGAAGGCCACCTTTAAGTAATGAATTCCATTTCCTGACCTTCGCTGAAGACCGACTCTGGAAATTAATCTCTTTTATACCTTCTTCGCTACTGTGCACAATTTTGTAGTATATGTGGAAAACTGAAATGATTGATGCACTAAGAAATATCTACAATATCATACAAATGAAATCGATAGTTGAGTAATTAAAGAACTGAAGCGTTAGATAACCATTATAACTAGTCACCTGTATGATGATGGTCGATACGCCCTCTACATGCAACCACTCCGTCATGTCATTACCTCTCAGTCAACTGTACTGTTCTGTCATTTTGTGTCCAGGGTAACATCTCTCTTCCAGTCTGATTCTCTCGTCTTTCAGTTGTCTTTACCTGTGCGATCTTGATTTTCTTGTACATCCGACTGAAGGTTGTTCCAACGATGGTTAAAGGTATTGTTAGTAAGACCACGCCGAAGACTGAACACACGGCTCCTAGAGTCATACCCACGGTAGATTTGGGAAGCATGTCGCCGTACCCTACGGACGCCATGGTCACGATCACGTACCAGAACGTGGCGGGGATGCTGGAAAACGTCATGTTCTCGGGACTCTCCGCGTAGAAAATCAGAGTGGAGCAGATGATGCCAAATATGAACATGGCGAAGAACAGGACAGCCAGCTGGCTCATGCATTCCTTTAAAGTCATGACCAACATTCGCAATCCGCGGGAAGAAGAACCGAAGCGCAGGATCCGGAACGCGCGGAGTGACCGTAGAACCGTAGACGAAAATCCGTCACTCCTCACCAGAAAGTTCAGGTAGAATGGCAGAATCGCGACAACGTCAATGAGAGTCACGAAGCTCTTCAGGAAATTCCACCTATTCGGTGCAGCAAAGAGCATCATGAAAAACTCCAGCGTGAAAATCGAGACGCAGGCCGTGTCGATACACTCGAACACCCAGGGATAGAGTTTATCGCAGGTGTCACAGTAGCGATCGCCGCATGAAACTGTCTCCACTATGTTCGATATGACCGTGATCGCGATGAAGTATCCCACAACCATGTTGAAGGCACTGCCGTAAGCGGACCCGGGAACATCGTGAAATACTTGCCACATCTTTTGTCGTAAAGTCGTGGGGCTCTGGCTTCTTGTCCGATCTGGGTTCACTTCTCCTAAAGGGTCTTTGCCGAGAAACTCCTCTCTGATCGACTGATATGTTTCGTAACAGCAGGTTCCGAGGCTCTCGTCCAGAGAAATCCTGAAGAACTCCAAGTCCTCTATGAAGGTGGACAGGCAAACGTCACTGGATAAATGCAGGACCCCCGTGCGGTAATACATGAGGATGTGCTTGAAGACCTTCGGGCAGCGGTCAAACTTGTACTCCTTCGTATCGGCGTCGTAGAAGACTCGCCGAAGGCTGTCTGATCCGAGTAGGGTGTGGGGGAACCTGTCGAACTGGTCCTCCCAGGCCACGAACCTGGTCCCGTTCACGTTAAATACCAGCCGGCGGATGGAACTCACTCGCCCACCGCCAACACTGAAGGACAGCAGACGCTTGTTCAGCGAGGTGGCGATGGAACTTCGCCTCTGAAGCAAACGCTGCTCTTCTGGTAAGACAGTGTCTCGCTCCTCCTTGCCCCCCTCCTTCCCTACGTCATGGATATCAGGATACTCAAAGAAAGACAGTCCGGCCATGGTGTATGTACAGTTCTGATGAGAAGACGACTCTGGCTACATGACTTGTGTTAGCATCCATCGGGCCTTAGTACCAGGCGCTGCGCTGCACGACAGTTAAACGAAGATGACGTCGAAATGCCTATTACCGCTTCATGTCAGGTCGTGATCGATGAACCTCGTCAAACGTTGAAACGGATTTGATTGTCCGAAAGTCGCCATTCACTACACAGGAACAGGCTGTCCGGTACTGGGGTATTCCCCGGAGTGTGCAATCGTTGCGCAACGATTAATAGAGTCAATGCCATCGCGGCGCTCCGGACAGCCTACATTTAATTCACTAACATCTCGGGAGCATTGCGGTGACCTTATTATACGCATAATAAATCAAGGCCATTTTTAAAGTACGTTATATCACTTCTGCGTAGCCAGACTGTAAATCAGTGCTTCGCACGTAGATTACGCCAGCCTGTATAACAGTAATTATACCGTGTGATTGAGGACATTGACAATATATGGTGAATATTACGTTGTGTAACCTTGTTACTGCATTATATGCTGTGTAGTTATTTCCTCTGCACTTGAAGTATTCCGCATCAGACGTTCCCCAGAGAGGTCGAAACAGGCAAAGTGCCAAATAGACAAATCGGAATCAGCCGCTATAAACCGTTTATTCTCATATATGTATTTATATACATCAAGGGATAAAGTGAGTCAGTTGATTGATCACCGTCTACTATTGTAGAAATATTCATAACATAGCAATAAAAATGATCATAGATGTTGCAGGAAAGGCATTTCTTCGTGAGGACCTTCATTTTTTTGTAAAGACGCCAATTAAATTTAGTTTCTTTGCAATGCAAGCTGTTTTGCATATATTTGGCAGATATATATTTGCGATAGCTCGTTAAGTGGAACTGATCTGTTTTTCTATCCAGGTTGCTCATTATTGTCATCAAAATAGATAATGGTAGATAGCAAAGTAATCTTGATGACAAGACCCGTAGATAAATGCTGTAATATATGAGTGTGTTCAATGTGGTCTAGTAGATAGCAAACAACAGGGACTTCGGAAAAGCGTATCGTTTCGCTTTATCTCTTAATCTTTATTTATTTCACTTCATTGATTTCACTTTACCGATACAATTATCCTAGAAAAAGGCTTCGCCGTAAAAACCAACATTCCCTTGAAACTTGGGAAAGAATCTTTCCTCAGTGAGTCCTAGGGAAAATATTGTATTTCCGACTTTAGTACTTATTAATTTCCGGAGTCTTTCCGACTCGACGGTCAGGAAATGGAGTTCATTGCTTTATTTGAGATTTTGGGTGGTGAAGTCATCCAACAAATACATCAGGAACAGAGCTGTCTTGAGCTAAAGGGTTTGAAATCCAGATGTAAGATCACATGGCCTTGCCTGCGGTCGACTCCCAAAAAGGCCTGCGTTGGCGTTTTTTTAAAGTAGATCGCTAAACCAGGCCTTTTAGCAGCATTTCTGTTGAGTAAAGAAGCGGAGTGATCGACGTTATCGTTCAAGGCGGCCGGCTCGGCACTGTTAACCGTCCAAAAACATTTACCATCACCCCCGTTTCTGGTAAAGGCATTTCTATAAGCACAACTTAGACTGGTAACCATTCTTTACGGTCAGGATTGGGGGGGGGGTGCCTCAGACTTAGTCCTATACTGGTCATATGTTTCTTGCTGACAGCCTATCTTTCCTGTCGGCCTTTGTTTATGACAGCCACAGCCTATCTTTCCGGCCAGACAGACATCCCGATTATTACCGTTCCATAGTAATTGAAAATAACCCCGTAAATATCCCTGGCGTGTTCTAATGGGTTCAGGCGGGTGGACAATACTGTCAACACCGTAGACATACCAGGGAGCCTGCGATGGTCTGGCTACCAGGCTACTGAGCATAACACAGCGTTAAACGCACTGATGGATCCCATATCAACTCGATTGCAGTGCATAAGTCGGAGATGCGAGGGCTAACGTAAAGCTAAGCTTAATGGGTAGGGGTTAAATAACACTTTCCTCTCACGCACAGACGGCCTGCCCACGCAATAATCTCACTGATGTTTGCTCTTTTAAAGAGATTTTATTCTGTATCTCCTTTTTCTGTGGATCCATTAAAGAGCAGTGATTCTTTCTGCTTACTTTCAGAATTAAGTCCGGGATATGCCACAAAGATTTATCAAAAAGGTCGAGAAGCACTTTGGTAAATCCTTTCTCGCGCTTTCGGTTTTGTTTCGGGTCTTAACTGCCTACTTATCTGGAGAGTTGGGCATTATCTGAATAGCCCAGTGCTTCTAAAAATGACGGGGAGTAAGTTGGAAGGATTCAGAGTCCGGAATTTGGCTATTTTTAACTCCGGATAGGGATGGACTGTTTTTGATATGTTTGTGTGTTTGCTTGTGCTCGTATGTATTTGAATGCAATATACGTAGTGTCAGGAACGGGAAGGTTGGTTACCGCAGATTGACATTAAGGTCAAGTTGGAAGGCAGTGATGGCTGGCAGGCTGGGAAGTTGGCCAGGGCGACTGTTGGCCGGATGCCAATGGGAAAATGCATAATCAACAAAGCAATTCACAACGAATAAAGGAAGACATTTTTCAAAAAGAATATTTCACGGGGGTGTGAAATGGCTTTGGTCGTGCAAATGATGTGGCTTATGTCGTGCAATTGGTGTGGCTTAGGTCGTGGAAATGATGTGGCTTAGGTTCAAGAAATTGTGTGGCTTAGGTCTTGTGTATCATTAACACGTGATTCATCAACCGGTGGCTAAAAGTTAAATGCCTGCGTACCTCCCCAATCACACCCACCTGATTTGGAACAAAGCCATGCTCTCATTCATAATTATGATATCAAATGCAGTGCCTAGACAAGATTTACCCTCACGAGATTTTAAGGTGAAATGCTCCAAGCACAACGCAGGTGACCAGGTGGCCTGTTCTCGCCCGGTGAAATGGGGCCAATTACTCGTCAACACCGCCCATTGATTTTTTCCTGAGCACATTTAGTTTCCAGAGAGAGTAATTTTACCTTGATAATCCATGGGTGAGTCGTCTTCATCAAATTTCCATTTAACGCCCCAATCCAGAAACTGGGAAACAAGGGATTACCTGCAATCTACTTTTGGTTTTCATTGGGTCTAATGAAAATACTTCTACTTAATTTCAACGCTGTCCTCTTTCAAGAGGCCTAGCCTTTGCAATAACTGACACGACCCAAATGAACGGGCGCGGATATATATGTTGTTACCGTTGTTGTAGTACATGTAGTACCGTGCATGTATAAGGATGTATGTCCATGAATCCCGTAACCTAGTGTCTTGTTATATTTTCTCTCACCTTGACTTCTTCTCTCATGATCTCGATGAAAAGTAACCAGCAGGCCTATCTATTTTAGTATTTCAGGAGTAAACAAAGGTTCAAACAAACAAATACACATGCAGAACTTTGTGGAAATCCGAGGTGATGTTGGGGGATTAAAGGAGTTCAGAAGGGCGTGCTATTGGCCAAAAGATTATGTTTCCATGACTGACGGAAAATAGCACTCCCTTCTGGACTTTAGGACCCCTTTAAATCGCAAGACTGACGTTTAATATACGGTACCGCGCTACTTGTCCCTAGAACGTTTCAGTATCTTTTCGCTCTGGGAATCATCGTTAATGCCTCCATATATTTCATCGCGCAACTGACCTCGCTAAATCACAGCGACTGTTTTACTGTATCGTTACTATCGATTGGCAGGAGGCAGCGGTGTCGAGGCCGAACACACCAACAGCTGGGGAGGATGCATGTTAATACCGGCGCGTAGTTTAATAGTCCGCCGTTTTCGTGGCCGTGTATGGTTCATCAACCTAGAGCATATATTTTGTGACTTACGAGTATGAATTATCGTTCGGACATTGACTCTTTACGGTGCGCACACACCAGTTCATCCGCGACAGAGGTTTTTGTTAGTTCACAACAAGGAACTGACGAAAGGGTTCGAGGGTTCAGGTTTGAGTTTCTCATAATCTACTGTAAAATGACATTAACTACCAACTCCGAAACAATGTAAGAAGTGGTGTATTTTTGGATTTTGGCTTACTTCCGGATAGCCTTCCGCCTAGAATGTAAAGAGTCTGTTTGACCCAGATTGACCTCTCCTGTGTTCTGTGGGCGCTGTTGTTATATACCATGTGCGACTCGGTAATGTGGCAATCTAAGTGTTAGGATTCTCTTGATACATTTCTTGACTATACATATGGGTTTTCTCTTTCCGACAATACCGGTACCAGTCGTATTTGTGGCTACATTATGGGTGATGGGTTTAATTCCAGGTAAAACTGACACTAAATGATTCATTCTGTCCATGCGTCAGCGGTTCTAATAGGGACCTAGGAGTACCTAGTAATATAGTATGTGACAGGCGCCGCATCCTGTATGGTCTGTTGATTGAGACCTACATGTATTATGTGTCAGTGAGAAAATTGTTTTTCTAGGTAACAAATATTCTTCACAGGCCGGCTTAGGTGTGTTTTGCCGAGCCAAGTCACTAAGCATATGCCTTTCTCTGACAGCCTATCTTTCAAATCTTACCTTGGTTAGTAAAGACTGTAAAGTAGGCAATATAACACAGTTCACACATCGGATGAGTTATAAATTCTCCTATAAACTCAGCTGCGGCCTGTCATCAAGAAGGAATGAATGCAAGAAAGGCTTCTTTTCTTGTACGTTTATGCTTTTATATATATAGCTATGTACACTGTGGTATCTTACTATATCTACGCATGGCCAATGTATACTAACGCTACAGGTTATCTGGCGATCCATTTAATTTGATTGGATTATATTTGATCTTATTTGATTGGCAGCTACCTCCTCGGGCCCCCTTTTCACTAGACTGCGATTGCAGAGCGACCGTATACAGCAACCAAAAGTGTATTTGTGTGACCGGTGATTTTATAACAAAACACATAAAAACGGTAAAATCGTTGCTTTGTCTTTGAATATCTGTCAAATTTACGTGGTC